AACATCATGTGGCCACACGGTGCGCAACAAACTAGATACAACGATGTAAGGTTTAGCCGCTAGCCACAGCTCCCAGAAGCTGCTTCCTGTACAGTCTTGCACGGGTACCACAAGTGGCCAGTTCTGAGGCCACCACAAGCTACTCGTTTTGGGCGACAGTTACACGACAGTTACACACTTGGGATGTTTTTCTATGTCAACATATATTTTCTTTTGCGTATGCGCTAACTGAAGCAAGATCCCAGCGAATGTTATCCAAGCAAGATTCCCAGCACCCAAGCAATGCTAGCGAAGCAGCCTTATCTCGTCTTGTCTTCGTCTTCTACATCATCAGAATCAGAAGCTTTTATTTACAGAAAATAAGGCCAGGAGCTCCTAGTAGCTTCTTGTTACTAGTAAGAATGCTCCTAGCAGCGATGCCAGGAGCCCCTAGTAGCGTCCTTGCTCCGTTCGTAGCGATGCCCTTTGTTCCTAGCATTTAAGAAACAAGCTATTGTTCGGACTTGCAAAATAGAAGATTCCAAAATAGACCATTTAAATAGGAAAGCTCAGGCCACTTCTTTTTCCACCAGCATCCTGGTTTCGTGCGCTGGAGCGGGTGGTCAAGCTCTTTAGGCTTTTGGGGCCCATCTCGCCCCTTTGGCTCGTGTATGGGATCACCGAGGCCTTGGTGCTGCAAGAAATAGATTCGACGTCTTATTGTCTGAAGAAATTGCACCAGTCTGTAAGGCCAGCGGAAAAGCTTCCATCACGTTCAGGATGGTGGACTTGGCTTGGGCTGAAGCATCAGTCATGAAATTCGCCACGACGGCGTCTTGAAGGTGAAAGCTCATGACCTCCATCAAAAGCCCACTCCCGCGCCGCTGAACTTCTTTTCAGACTTTGGGGCATCTATGGTCTGAAGGATGCCACAATCAGTGGCTTCTGCTGGTCCAATATCTTGGTCAGGTCGTCTGGTCAAGATCTTGTCCTGTCAATGCCTCAGAGTAGATGGGGGACCAGGCCAGCCCATCATATGGCTTCAGGTGTCCAGTACCAATCCACGCATCAAAACGAGATCCGTAGGGTCGAGTCTGCTTGCCTGATGCCCCGCAACCTGAAGGGTATCGTCAGCTCGTGGGTTCCAAAGAGCGCATGGTCATTGGAGAACAGTGCGCTTTGTCATGAAGAAACTCCTCTTCTCTTTGCACAGAGCAGTTCGCCAGGCCAAAGCAAGCTTCCCCAGCAAATTGTCCGGCTGCTTCACGGGCCATCCCCATTCCAAGACCATAGCCAGAAATCCTAGCAGTACCTGAAAAGGCCCACTCTTTTCGCACTGACCCGTGAGGGGTTGACCTTTTTTCACTGATCGAACTAATGATCTCTGACAGGTGGTTGTCCGGCTTTCCTCTCGAAAGAAGGAATCTGCCGTACTTGATGAGCAGGTGGTTCACCCAGTCAAGACCAACGAAGGTGCTCATGAGAACATCTTCAAACGACATACCCTCACTCATCAGCCAAGCGCGCAAAGCAGGCGCAAGTTGGATGCAGGTCGGGGCCGTCCGCTGGGTCACACGGTGACCCTCACGCAGTCCAAACTCATTGCGATGCTGCCGCCTCAAAGCATCTCCATGGCTTGCGCTACCCGCCCCACTTAGGTCCGCTGAAAAAAAGATAATCGTGAGTCTAACCAGTAAATTCAGCGGGTGAGTCAGGGGACCCTCCCTAGTGTAGCCAAGGGTGGCATCAATCCAATGGGCGAGGCAGGCACGGAGAAGTTGAAGCTCTATGTAGCCGAGCGCAGGACGGGTCAGCAAAACAGGAAATCCAGGAAGGTGCAAAAGATGAGACAGAGGAGGTCAGTTTGCCCTCCAGCTCCTGAATTCTGAAAAAGATGCCACCCAACTGAGCCCTTCATCTTCAAGGTCACCAAGATCACCATGCGGTGAGGGATGAGCCAAAGCGTTTCTAGTAGGATGGCCCGGAGAATTCGAGTGGGCTCCGGGTTTATTGCGTCGGTAAACGGTGTTTTTTGCGACGGTGCACATGTACCGGTGTTTTTTGCGTCGGTGCTGGAACGGTGTTTTCTGCGTCGGTTGGCCGGTGTTTATTGCGACGGCCCCGGGGTTTGTCGCGTCGGCAAACAGTGTTTTCTGGGACGGTTGGTGTTTTTTGCGTCGGTAACGGGTGTTTTCGGCGTCGGCTGCCTCCTCCTCTTCCTCCTCCTTCTCCTGCTCCTGCTGCTGCTCCTCCTTCTCCTCCTCCTTGTTTTTCTTCTCCTCGTCCTGCTCCTCCTTCTCTTCCTCCTTTCCTCCTCCTTCTCCTCCTCCTCCTCCAACTCCTCCTCCTCGTCCTCCTCCTTTTCCTTGGCGTCTTCCTCCTGCTCCTCCTCCTCCTCCTGCTCCTCCTCCTCCTCTTCTTCGCCTCCTCCTCTTCCTCCTCCTCCTCCTTCTCCTCTCTTCTTCCGCCTGCTCCTCCTCCAGGCGCTGCGCCCTCCCCCCGATCCACCCCTCCCGCTTTTTTATTGTAGCAACTCCCGTATACGCAGTACCCACCGTAGCAACACCAACAACAACAGCAACAGCAACAGCAACAACAACAACAACAACAACAACAACAACAAAGGTCTTCCATGTCTGCAGTCCGGGGGGAGGCGCTGCGCGCCGTGCGATCGCCATCATCATTATCCCAAGCCCCATCCGCATCATCATCATTAACATCATTCTCATCATCTTGGTCATCATCTGCATCATCATCAGCATCATCATCATCATCATCATCAACATCATCATCTTCTTCTTCCTCTTCATCATCATCATCTTCATCACCATCATCTTCATCATCATCTTCTTCGTCATCATCATCATCATCCTCAGCCGCATCATCATCACCATCATCAGCATCTTCATCATCAGCGTCATCATCATCGTCATCATCATCATCATCTTTTCTTCTTCGTTATCATCATCCTCATCATCATCCGCAGCCTCATCATCATCACCATCATCAGCATCATCAACAGCATCACCATCATCATCCTCATCCTCATCCTCCTCATCATCTGCGTCATCATTAGCATCATCTGCATCAACATCACCATTTTCATCATCCTCATGACCATCATCAGCCTCCTTATCCTACTACTACTGCTACGACTTCTTCTCCTCCTCCTTGTCGGTCGCCCGCCGGCCCAGGTGGACACGAGGATGGTAGACCTGAGAGAATGACCGGCTGCATGGCGTCCAGGTTGGAAGAAGGAAAAGGGCATGTCATGCGCAAGGAGATGCTGCGCAGTAAAGCAGTATTGCAGTTTGAAAGGCTTAATTGAAAGACCTGACATGAGGAAGCTGAAGCTCGAAATTTAAAGAAACTAAAAGTAGAACAAGGCTGTTACACAAAGAAAGCACTGTCAGCGAAGTTGCGGCACAAACTTTTCAGCAGCGTGATGGACCTGCACCAACGGCTTTCTTTGAAGCAAATCACCCTGTACGTCTGCGCCGTTTCCGCGGCGGCTCAGCAGCAGTTGTTCGACGCCCGGTACGCTTGCGAGCTTTTGGGACATCATTGAGCAGTAATGAGTCCGAAGGGAATGTCGGCAGCGCCAAGCTGCGAAGGAACGTCGAATGCTCGCACTGGGCATGCATTGTTGCGGCAGCACAAGAACAAAGGAGGGACGTCGGCCGCGCCCGCAAATACACAACATCTTCAAAGTGAAAGCGAAGGGCCTGCAATGAAAGATTGCCGGAATCGTCAAACAACTGAGGCAAACTGTTTGCATGCAGCAGCGTCGGCTGAAGAAGGAACCGCAAGATTCCCTGCGCCAAGCTACGATTCACCGGCGATGTGGCGGCAGTGGCTGCACAGGCAACCCACGAATGATCTGTGGACTGTTGAAGGACATAGCACGAGTTCGGTGGCAACTTGGAGAAGTTGGCTGCTGTAGTGCGCCCGGCTCGCGCTAAAGCCGCACCATTGACTAACTGAGGGTCCTGTCCGGCCGGCTGAAAAGACAAAGGCGAAGCATCCATCCAAGAGTACCAGTCTTGCCAATGTTGTGTGTAGAGCCTTTGTAGGACGCACAAGCAATGGTTGATGTCTCCACGGCCACCGAGAGAAGCCAATTCCGTTTGCCACGCGCCATGCACAGCTTCTGCGGGCTCACTGCCGCTGCCCGATCCGGGTATAATGCCATCAAAGCCAACCCAGAAACTCACATAAATAAGATCCTGTGGGCCAGCGGCTTGCTCGGAAAAGATAGATGGCAAAGGCCGCTCGTATGATTGCAACCAATCGGCTAGAATCGGTTCATCCATGCGTCGCAAAGAAGCCAGGAAAGCTTTCCAGAGCCAGCTAAACAGAGGCAATGTCGGGATGAACCGCAGCAGCGACACCACAGTCAAGGCATAGTGCAAATGCTTTTTCACATGTTTTCCTTTGTGAAGAACAACCTGACGGCACTTGGACCGCATGACCGTGTGAGATTTTTCTTTGAAATGGAAAAAATCATCACATGCCCGAGAGTGTGGGAAGACTTCTCGACGAGCTTCTTCGGCGCTGGGGTGAAAGTCCTTGTGGATTTGAAGGCTTCGCTGCTCGGGCAGAGGCAAGCGGCTCGGCTGGCGTTCTGCCCACAAGTCGCAACAGGTCCGAAAAAGGCGGCAATAGTTGGGCTTTGTTTCGGCGTGAAAAGTTGCCTGCGCAACGGGCATGCCATGCGACGTCCAAGCACGGCTTTGAGTCCGAGAGCCTTTGCCAAGTTTGGGCAAGCGCGTCTTGCGCAGCTGGTCCTTGACCAATAAGCTGACTGTGGCCACGCCCATTCCGCGGGTCAACACCTTCATCTTGGTGTCCACAGAAAGGGCGACATCTAGACCAGTGTAACGGTCAAAGGTGTTCAGCGTCCCGGGAGAAGCGAAAAGGATACAGACTTCCGTATCCGTGATGATTGGGTCCCGCAGAAGAAACAATGCATCGATTTGCTTTGGAAGGCTTCGTGGCAACTGACTAACTTCCAAAGCAACCGCTGCCACAACAGACTTGTCTTTGTCGAGGGCATCCTTGTTTTTGCGGCTGTTGTTTCTCAACCAATTGGCAAGCTGGGTGTTGTCAGGCAATGATGCATCGGCACAGCCTGCAGCTAGAAGGGCCACGCGCAAATTCTTGGCCCCACGGCCACCTCCGGAAAGGAAGCGGGCAGCAATTTCGCGCTGCTTTTCGTTGAAGATTTTCCCTGACGCACAAGGTACAGCACCGTCATGCCCGGTGTGTTCACCAGATGCCTGAACGACCAAAGTTCCAGGGCTGTACAAACTCTTGCTGAGAATGTAGTGGGTTCGCCAGCAATGGGTGCACAGTTCGCTTTCTACGCAGCGACCCTCACTCAAAATGCGTTCTTTGTTTTGCCACAAAGTCCGCACGGCCACTCTGGTGTCAGCCCATTCAGGTCTGCGGCGCAGGTGCTGCAAAAGCTGCTGGTTGGACATCAAGGAGACCCAAGCTCCACCCGAGAAATGTCGCGCCACTGGATGGCTTGCTTCTTCTTCCTTGGTTTGGCTGGTTGATTTGGGTGGGCACTTGCACCGCCACGCGCAACTTGTGGAGACGGTTTTGCAACACGAGGCACTGCACTTTGCAAAGGTTGAAGCTCTTGCTCCCCGGAGTCCACTGCTGTGTCTTTGCTTCCACACACACCCGAATCAACGTCCACGCACCCTCCACGGCAGGTGCCTAGAAAAGCTGCATGATCAACATGCGAACGTTTTCCGAAATGGGAAAGTGGCACCCGGTGTTTCCGCAACCAATCCAAACAACCAGGAGACAGTGACCCGACATGATATTTGCGGAATCGCGCAGTACCACCGGAGCTGCACAGCTCCCCAAGCCCAAGGTCTTTCAGCTGCAACCACAAATCAGCGATGCGTTGGCGGGCCAGATCCGCCGCGTTGCAGGAGCCTTTCTCGATACTTCGTTTCAATGCCAGGTCTGCACAAAAAATGTGTTCCAAGGTGATGACAGAGCCAGGCGCTCCCCGCAAAATGCGGAGCAGCAATGGGAGTAAATCATCCTCCGCGTCGCGGAAGTCGTGCCGACGGTGCAACCAAGTTTGCTCTTTGGAAGTGACGCTGAGGATTGCCTGGCCAAAAAGATACCGCTTCAGCATGAATTGGACACTCGCAATGAAACACTCGTTGGACACAGTCGTGGGAAACTCATCCGGCAAATCACGCCCCAACGCACTTGGCCACAAATTCGCCACCAGGTGGTTTGTCAGCACGGCGGTGCCCAGCCAATACATGGCCTTGGGCATGGCCTCCCGAAAGACCGTGTGCACGGAATCTTTGCGAGCAAACAAGCGGCCAATCTCTTCAAGCTCAACAATGACCGCACGCTGTGCATGTGTAGTTTCAAAGACAAAGTCGGCTGAAGTGGTAATATGAGGCCCAAACCGCCGGATGATAGCACTAAAAAGCTGCTCGAGAATAGGCACAGTGACATCTTGCAAGAAGCCATTCCAAGACTGCTTGCCCATATTCAAACGAGCTCCAAAGGAAAAGAGAAAGCGCTGCACCAATCCAAGTGGTTTGGTTGCTGCCACTGGCGCCCACCAATTAGAAAGAAACAATTCCTGCTGCAAAAAAATTATGTGAACATTTGTTTCTTTCAAAGTCATGCCAACTGGTTCTGGCACAGGGGCTGTTGGATCAGGAACCTTGCGCTTCAACACTTTTTGGCGGTCAACTTGGGTGCTGAAGCTAAAAGAGCCACCGTGGGCAGCATTGAGAAACAGTTGGAAATCAATGAACTTGGATGGGTCAGTGGCTCCACCGTTGGCAAAAGCAGGGCAAAGGCAGGCGCCAGCTTCATCCGAATGTATTGCCAGATATCCGTCACAGAAACGAAGCTTTTCGCGAGCCGCTGCGGAAGTGCTGCCCTGTTGCAGGTGAAACTGGTCGCCAGGTGAGCCCACGGTGAAAGCTGTGTTCTGGTGCAACGCCCTCTCCACAGCTTCGACGACTGGCATCATCGCTGGTGACTTCCCTTCAGCGACGTTTGCAGTGCCAACCATCCAATACCGATTCTTGGTATGATACCGCTCAGTGAGTTGCACGCCGGCCCGCTTGTGCACCACTGCATTTCCGAAACTTTGCACTAGATCGATCCAGAATACCAGTGGAATAGCCGTGGCTCGGGCTGTGGCTTCAAGCAGGACGGCCAAAGGGTAGACCATGGTGTCTCCGATCCATGGCACGACTTCAAGAGCAGCGTGACTGTTCACATTGTCCAAGCAAAGGTCAGAGACTTGCGCCTGGTAATGCTCCGCGATCTTGTCCAGAGTGACCTCCGGGTCGGCTGAGAAGAGGGGAAGTTCAGAGAGAAAAGCACGACAATCTCCTGCGTTCTCAAACAATTCAAGAAGATGCAGGGCATGGTCACCCAATGCATCATGGCCATGGCTTTCAGGCAAAAATTGCGGCGGCATCTGCGGCTGGTGGATGGCAGAAGCAGTGGCTTGCAGCGTCTCAGTTGCACCTGTACCGTCCTGGCCAGGGAGCAAATCAAGCGGTGAACGTCAAAACAGCGCAAAAAAAGGACAAAGCCGACAGGTGTGGTAACCAGGAAAAGCAGCCCCAAAAAAGGAAACCGTTCTGGCCCACCTCCGTCAAAGAAGCCGACAATGGAGCGCTGAAATCCAACGCATCACGGCCATGACCTTCAGGCAAAATGTCCGGTGGCATGGAGCCCTGGGGCAGGCCAGACGCACGGGCTGGCTTTGTACCTTCTGCACTTGGATGCACCTGGTCGAGGGATCAAAGAAATCAATGAACGTTAAAAAACGGACAGGATTGGCGGCGGATCAAAGAAACTAAGCAAGGTCAAAAAACAATGCACAAAATGAAGGGAAATGGACTAGCAAAACGTGTAGTCGAAAGATCCCACCTCGGTCGGAGAAGATGATCGTGGTGAAATAGCTTCTTGAACTCGTTCATACAAGAAATACCTCGCATGAGTCTGTAAGTGTGAAGGGTCAGTCGGAAAACGTTTGGGTGCATCTCCATCATTGTACTGCACCCACACGTCATCCGGCGCCAGCACAAATGCAACATAGTGACCACGGTGGTAGGAGTCCCCTCGATGCAGTACTGCTGCCCGGAGGCGATACACGTAGTTTGCATGTTCAAACTCAGGGGGCGCAAACACAGCTGTGCGGTTCAGGGGCAGGCCAGGATCGGTTTCGCGAACGAGCTGTATGAGCGCAACGTCCCCCAAGTGCCATGATGAAACTTGATGCAACACACTTTTAACTTTGCAAAGTGGACATTCCAAACCTCCATCAACAATCTCCTCGCTGTGAGGTAAAAGCAAGTCTGTCAAGTCAAGGGCAGCAGTTTCATCAAAGGGTGGAAGAGAGATTAACGCCACTGGGTGTGGCGCAAGCACGGGCTGACAGGTTGGAAGTTCAATCGGGCACTGGCACCGCACCTCATGGCTTCGTGTTTGCAAATACTCCACTGTCAAGATGTTCAAGACTCCGAGATCAATGGCAGCAAGCTTTCCCAAAAATTCCAAAGGGTCTTGCTGGCGATCAAAAGTAAGCTGCAAGCCGCGCAGTGGCTCGGTCCACACCGGCTCCAAATCAGTCGCCGATTCACGAGGAGAGCTCACAGCATGCGTTTCTCGCAAGGCACACTGCCAGCAAGAGCTTCCACATTGTCTGGTCTGCTGGTGTTGAGAGATGGAATTAACTATGGGCAAGCGTGCAAACATGGACTGCAGCAAGCTAGCCAGCCAACAGGATGTGCCCGAGACGTTGGGAAACACGCCGCGGAAAGAGAAGCCTGCGACGGAGCACGACGAAACGGACGAGCGTGAAGTCCGACCCCCCACGATCTCCAACCCCGCCTGCGGTGTTGCCGTTGGAAACGTGAGCTGCTTTGTTGCGACACTTGCGTGAAATGGTCCACCGGAACGTGGTCAAGACTTGCGCTGCAGCAGTTCCAAAAGGAATGTGGGGGCTGAGGTCGGACACGCTGTGCACAACCTCGCAAGTCTTGACCGTTCGATATGCCTTTGCAAACTTTAAAAGGCCTGCAGTACCAACGGCTGCAAGCTAAGCATGGACCAGCCTCGAGCTCCAGCGCCGGCGCCATGGCGCGGTTGTCGGAAATCTCGCGCAGCCTCACGATGTGCAAACGCAACAAAACCAAAGACTAAACACAGTCATCAGGACCGGACGCAGTCGTCACCAGAGAACGTCGCCACGCCCGGGTGGGGCGACCCCACTGCTGCGTGTTGCCTCACACGAAGCAAAGCAGAAACAAAGACAGCCAACCCCGCAGGTGTACAATGACTAAGGCCCCGGCACCACGCTATGTCGAAGAACAGCCCGAAAGGACACTCCTGTCAAAAGTCTCATGCGCTGGCAACCGAAAAGTCGGCGCGAGCCACACCCAGCCTCCTGCGCTTGCCTCCAAGCAAAATCCAGAAAAGCATCATCCTGGAAGGGCCGAATCTCTGCAAGAACAAACCAGCCGAGCCTAGGAAAGTGGAGTATACGAGCATCCGATGCACACAGCGCAGCTAACCGCCTCCGTCGTGGTAGCACACGGGCCACGAGCACGGCGGCGCCTGACTGGATAGCAAGAACCGAGCATGTGAAAACCACGTCTGACACTGACGGACCTGTGCTTTTTCTGGGAGCACGGGGTGGCCTGCCGCGGACGTGCCATGAAGAACCGGTCCCACCCCGAAACGTCGCGCAACTGTGAGGCTTCGACCGTGCGAACTGGCTCCAGGGCTTCCTGTCACAGCAAGACAGCAACGAGCAACGGCTGTTACGCTGCTACGCCCTTACAGCTCAACATACATACTCTGCGCGGGGCCTGTGGAACATCGTTGCACGGCACATGGATCCACCCCACCTGGCAAACGATTCTGTAGCAAAAGCGGTCCAGGCGTGCACGCACTGAGGCCCGGACAGGGGTTTTCAAGGTGAGGCTGCAGCCCCAAAACTTGCGGAGAAACCTGTCCACGTCGAACGCCTGGCAGCGCCGCGCGCAGTCATCGCAGCAGAAGTTTGCAGCGCAACGGGCCTCCAAATCGCAGTCAGGATCGTCCGCCCAACGCAGCGCCATCAGGGGAGCCTGGTGGAAAGCACCGGCACGGAAAACGGAAGTCAGGGAGAAGCAAGAGCAACTGCAAGAAACTTCTGAGAGTGCGGCCTTGGAATCTGCAGCCCCGGAACAGAACAAACTCTAGAACCAGAACTTGCAGCAAGGGAGGCACCAACGGACATGCAGAGGGCAACCGGGGGAAGCGGAAAAACGACAACGCTTGACTCGCACCGGCTGAGCCGCTGGCACTCGAAGAAAATGACGGCAGCGCAGCCTTGGCAACAAGAATTGGCAAAGCCCCACCGCTGAGTGAGAAGCCTCTGGGCGCCAAGCTCCGCGACCAAAGCTCCGCGACCCAACGCGAAGATGACGGCAGCGCAGCCTTGGCAACAAGAACGAGCAAAGCCCCACCGCTGAGTGAGAAGCCGCTGGGCGCCAAGCTCCGCGACCAAGCTCCGCGACCAAGCTCCGCGACCAAACTCGAGGAGGATGGCAGCGCAGCCTTGGCCGCGACCAAAGCTCCGCGACCAAACTCCAGAAACAGCCAGGCACGTTATTTGAGCTGCTGGCCGCTGGCGTTCGAAAAAAGTGATCAGAAGGCAGCCTCGGCTACAAGATTCCACGATGACAAGCTAAAGGGGTACCGGCGCAAAAAACACCGACCAACTGTCGCAAAAAACACCGTGGCTGGGGCACCGACGCAAAAAAACACCGATTGCTGGTAGACAAAACACCGTACAAGTTGACTGTCTGGAAGAACACCGATTACTGACGCAATAAACACCAAGCCCCAAACACACAGTATGCGACATTGGGGCCAATGAGGTCAACAAAACGCAGACCTCTTCTTCTGAGGGCTTCAGCTTCATAAGCCCTTAATGCAGCTCCCTCCTCTAGAGAGGACCCTCTCCAGCTCCAACAGTAGGGCTCAAGCTCAAAATCATCTTAAGGTTCTTGGCCTTCTTCTGATCAGCTCTCCGAAGCGTGAAAGTTGTTCCCCAATTCCAGCAACAACCAGGCCTTTTTCAAAATAGAGGGGCCTGATGCATAAGCTCGTTCAGGGAAGGGAACAGCCGTGTTGGAAGCAGCCAAGGGTCCAGAGCACAGCAATACCAGCATTTCTCCAGCAACTCCTCTGCTCATCGACCAAGCCATCGGAGACTCTGGATTCAGGTTGCTCGGCTCAGCATACCGGAGTGGGCCACCATAGGCCTTCGGTAGATCACGACTGAAAACCATAAGTCCAGCAGAAGAGATTGGAAGGCGTCGGAAGTATATGAAGGAAATGCCACACTGACCGGCAGCGTCACCAAATCAAAAAGCTTCTCCACATGGACTCCCTGCGCCACAGTGCCATAAACGGCGATTTGTTTGGGTAAAATGGTTTCAGAACCGATCAGCTTGTAGGGCAGAGAATCAGAGACCTCCATATCATCTGACACAAAGACGCCCTCTCTTGTGAAAGCTCCTTCTGCGCACAACAATGAATGAAGTCTTCGACCTGCTATCACCAGCATAGGCCTCACTCTTAGCAAAGGCAATGTCCTCTGCAGAGAGTGCAGAATAGTCATTATACTGCCTGTAGACATTGGGGCCACCTTCCATGTAAGATATACTGCATTGACTGCCGCACTCTCATAGAACTGAGAACTGGTGATGGGGATCCCGTCAGTCATTCATTACGTCAGACAGGGCCTACAAGCAGAAAAGGCGGTTCACATCCCATACGCTGCATAGTCTGAATGACTGATCATGATCAGTGTCACTGACAACTGGGGACTGCGAGACAGGAGGCTTGACGTCAGACTTGATGAACTTGGGCTTGCACAAGGCTGTAGAGCAAGTCAAACAGGAAGGCCTCGCAATTCCAGTTACCCAGGCCAGCGAGTCTGATTACCATCAAATCCCGCCACCCCGCTAGCAGGAGCAGAGATGGGCAGTTGGCTTGCTTGACATGGCGCCGCCAGCCGCTTCTGCTCAAATGGAGTCTTGCAGGGCTTCATGACCTCGTTGCAACTCTGAGATCTGCTCTGTCATAGTGGAGAGAAGCTCCATCAGGCCTGTCAGCTGTTCCGAAAGAGCAGCCGTGGTCACACGCTTCTTTGCAGACTCCTTTGCCTTCTGCCTGACTGGCGAATGATCTGGAGTGACACCTCCGATACGGCTCCCTTGGGGGGAGAGGAGCTGCTTGACGCTCCCCATGCTCTTCCCCTCTTCTGCAGAATAGAAGGCCATTCTCTGATAAACCTGAGCAGCTAGCCAATCTCTTGGCGGGACAACGTCCAAATCCTCTCCAAAACCAATGAGGCCCCGGGTCTCCAGATTCGGGCAAAAGAGACAAAGGTGTCATAGCACGAAGGGCGTCCACTCCAAGGTCCATATGAACACTGATGTCGATCCCAAGGCTGTCCATGCCAAATTCGGACAGACGGACTGCAGGCACCTCGAACTGAACATGAGGTCCAACCACCTCCATCTCAGAGGGATCCAAGGGAAGGCTTCCTGCAGAAACCAGGGCGGCAGGCATTGCTACCAACACTCCTCGTCCGGCAGCCCGCCGTACCACCACCACCACCAAACATACCAGCACGGCCTTGCACCGGATCTGGGGGCCAATAGATCCTGAAGAGCTCTACGTTGTCCTCCACCGCAGGCACTATAGCATCTAACTCCATTGGTACAGGCGCTCTGGGAACGGGATGTTGGGCCCCAAGCAGTATACCTTGGCCTTAGCCTTTGGGGCGAGTCCGTGAGAGATGCTGCTCGACCCCGTGAAGTCACCGAGCAAAGCTCTGTAGTCCGATGCCTTCTCAACCCGCACCGGCTCGGTGATGCCCTCCTCCCTGACCACAATGTAGGTTGTGTTTGCAAGGTCGCAGGGACTTGAAGGTCGGGGCTTGCTGACGCGGCCCTCCAACACGAAGCGAGCCCAGGATAGCTTGCCGCTTGCATCCACGAAGATTTGCACAAAGGCGAAGAGCCTCAGAAGAGAGAGTAGGGATAGCTGAACGCAGATGAGGCACTTGATGAGGTCCTTGCAGGACTGGGGGCCCTGGGTGGGAGGCTGAGACAAGCTCGAATTCCTCTTGAGGGCCGTGATGCAACCTCTGAGAGCCTCCGCTCAAGGATGTCCACCCTTATCAATAGCTGTTGAACCTGCACAACCTCAGTAGCTCAACAGCTTGCTCACTCATGCAAAGAGGCCCGGATACGACCTAGGGCAAGAGGGTCCTAGGGAAGAGACAGGGAGCAAGAGCGAACGCCAAACCTGAAGGCGAGGTATCAGCGCGATCCGGAAGAGCCCAAATCCGCCCGGAGAAAAGCCAAATAAATTGTGGGGGCGGACGATCAAAGAGGGAAGCCCAATTTTCCACCAATTAGACTCAACACCTCTTTTCAAGTCCACACGCACCACACCGAAAAAGACGTGGCATGAAAAGGCTTGAGCGTGAAAAAATGCATTCACATCGCTCTCCTAATGTCAAAGATAAGTATTAAAAAAGCTATTTCAAAACATAAAGCTGTTCAAACGCATTATTCTTTGTTAAAATAGCTATTTCAGAATCTTAGGACTTGCAAATGTCCTCTCATCCCGCCTTGTCCACACGAAGGACCTCCGAGACCTCGGTGGCCACCACTTGACAGTCCGACAGGAGCGGCTCGTGCCCGTGCGGCTCCAAACACTCGGCATGGACCACCGTGGGGTATTCGTCGACATTCCATCCATCCTTGTGGAGCTGTCCCGAGATCAAAATCCAAGAGGCTTCCTCACAAGTCAGACACAAAACAGTCATATCATATCAGATATAAAACAAACTCGTTACAAAACCGCCCCAAAAAATGAGGAAATCATCAACCAAATCTGCAAACAGGCAAAGGGCCCTTGCACTTTGGCGTCATGTGCATCTTTGGACGCAAGACTTTGGAACGGGCATGTAGGTCCGTGCACGCGCACACCACAGCTCGACAAGAGCACTTTTGGCAAAATGCCCGTCACGAACGAGCTGAAAGAAATGTGGGAGAAGCACGGAGACCAAAACGAACATAGATGCACTTGTTCCTAGTAGCTTATTTCTATCTAACTATTGTTTCTAATAGTAAGGCACTTGTTACTAGAAGCGATGCACTTGTTCCTAGCTGAAAGAAATCGTGCACTAGGTCCGGACTCGTCCTCTCACAGAGCTACACCCTCCAAAGGCCGAAGACGTATAGTTTCTGCGGTTTCCACGCGGTTTCTGCCGGTTCCTTTCACCTCATTTTTCTCTCTCTCTCTCTCGGTGAAGTTTCGCCTAGCCCTTGCGACCGAAAATACGATGAGCGAGAAGAAAAATAAGGCAAAAAGATAATAGTTCTTGCAAGGAGAACAATGAGAAGCAAGGAGAACAGTTTACGAATGTCATTCCAGTCATTTCTCTTTTTGCAATTGAGACTTTCATCGCTCCATTGATGGTCTCGAGTGAGATGTTTGCTTTGATTGGTGTCGATGTTTTTAGAAAAGTCGTGTGCTTTTCCTGTGCTCGTTGTGAGGTTTCATGGCGGAAGTAGTCGGTTGCTCGTTGGCTCAGCGACTCTGTTTCTATGCGTCGTTTAAGATATTGTAAGAATGACCTACCTGGCCTCCAATTAATGTTAAGCTTAATCTTTTGCTTTAGATTCCCTGGAAGTCACAAGCTGACATTCGCATGTTTGTTTGGCATACTGTTATGACCTTGTCTAGCATCAGGTGTCATTTTAACGCTTATATAGTTGTGGCCCAGTCACTGCGTTTATGAGAATTATTTTTCTGCAAGATTGTGTGAGTGCTGGGTGACATGTATGGCGTTGCTGGGGGTGGCAGTGAAGCGCTTTCCCTTTCCCTTTTGATCTCGTTGAACGGTGTTGGGGCTGCGCAAAGCGCACGGCAACTGCCGTGTCCGTCGAACGTCGATCGAGTCAGTCGAACGCACATCGAGGCATCCCAAGGCTTCGTCGCGACGGTGCTACTTTTCTGTTGTAACAAGGGCATTACGAACGTAGCGATAGGACGCTACTAGGGGCTCCTGGCATCGCTACTAGTAACAAGAAACTACTAGTAGCAAGGTGCACTACTAGTGGCTTTTTACTAGTAAGGCACCTTGCTACATGCTCTTCCGCTTTTGGCAGGTTGCTTGTCTTGGCAAACGCCGTCAAGTGGATGCCTGCGTTTGCTCTCCAGGCTTCAGTCCAACATGTCCACAAGTAGAATTAGGTGTATATAGGCTATATACAGCACATGGAGACCGAAAAATGTTTGCAAACGGATCTATTTTTTGGCCTTCTCCTTCTACTCCTGTACAGCGCTTTCTTTGTCACATGTGCACAAGTATGCTTTTAAAACCAAGCATTTCTGTGTGACATGATGTGACATGGCAACAAAGTCACCAAGTCTAAGTAAAAACTTAAGTTAAAAACTAAGCATATAAAAATATACTAAGCATCAAGAATATACTAAGCATACTTAGAAAGGAGTTTTTGGTGAAACTCCCGAGCGGCGATGGGATCGTTGCGCTTCACCAAGGCTTGCCCGGGCATGAAATCGCACGTCGCGGCCGCCGCCGCCAAGCGTAGGCGATGAGACCGCCTTCGGGACACGCGAAACGGGCGAAAAAGAAAAAAGCGAAAATTAGGCCATTAAAGAATTAAAATCTTTTAATTGGCAATTGAAAAAGCTATTAAAATTTTAAAAAAAAGGCGTTTAAAAAGCTATTAAAAGCAATTAAAAGGCAGCAAATAGGCCAATTACAGCACTTTCTTCAAACGGCAGAACACAGTGCAATTACGGCCTGAAGTGTTGCATGTTGGGCAGTCGCATCATATGGTGCAAGGCTTGACATCGGAAAACCTGATCTTTGAGCTCATCTGGCAAAGAGTTCAGCAATGTCGCCTCTTTAGCATGAGTCTTCCGCTGGTCGAAGAGATATTTCAGATAGGACTTCACACGAAACTGGATATCTTCGCTCACTTTGGTTCTCTGAAGATGTAAACGCACTGCCGCATATTCCTCATTGAAGGCCTTCTTGCGTTCCGAAAGCTTGAAGAAGGATTGCGTAATCAGCGCGATGGAAATGGCAAAGGCGGACAAGGCGAAAAACATGAAAATCAAAACAAAGACCCTCTCGGGCAGGTTCACTGGCGTGACTTCGGCTGGCATCGTTCTCATGACCCCAAGAGTCCAGTAGAAGCAAAAGACATAGGTCTCCGACGTGCCTAGACGAAAAAACAAACATAGACACTAAAAAGATGATGCAAAAACTAATATCGTTAATTGGAAAAACCTACAATCTAACCACATCATCTACATGAGACTTGCTGACATGATATTTGCTTTGCGCTTAGAGTAGCAGCATGCATCTTGTTTATAATGGTTGCACGTGTGTTTTTCGGAAGGCTGTGAAAGTGCAATGTGCTAGCACTTTTCACGTTGCGCTTGATGATTTGACATGTGTTAAGTCTTACATACATGCTCCTTAAACTCAAATATATATAAATAATACAAATCCAGCCTTCAAAAATGAAAATAATTTGAAGACTTGTCTTTAGAAGAAAATGCGTCCTTCCTTCCTTTCTTCCTTCCTTCCCTACCTACCTACCTACCTCCTTACCTACCTCCCTCCCTCCTTGCTTCCTTCTTTTCCTTCATAATAATCCCGTTCTTTCTAAGCTTGATAGGGCATCTTTCTTTCAAAGGTATCGTGTTTAACTGCCCTCACATTTATGTAAATACGCAATCCTTGCTGCAACGTTCCCTACCTACAAGCCCTCCTCTATCACACAATGCCGTTCTCCTTCCATTGATAAGATTCTGATTTTATGAAAATGTCTTCCACCTTCTCCAGACCCACCTCTATCCTGCAAGGCTCACCTCCTTCTTTACCATGCTGGCTCAGGCTTGAGACTTTGACCGTATAAATGCATGTAAATGACTGTCCATTCAGGAATGCCCTAATCTTACAAAAGTTGGATCACAACTTCGGACTGCAAAGGTTTCACAATCAACAAACAATCCAAGAATCTGAAGCACAAAGGTAGCCAAAATTAAAGAGCAATATCGTATGAGGCATACTGAAATGATAGCCAATCAACCTTTTGTAGGTCTAGCTCTACCCATGTCCATGTTTGCTTCTCAAAATCCAGGAGCAAAGCAAGAAACAGGCAACGAGGCTCTAAAAAGAAGCCTGAGAGGAACAGTTTGTGGACGAAGATGTGAAGTGCTTAGACAAACTAGAAACAAGGATGGAGCATGAGAAAGCTACGAACGGGGGGAGCAAGGGCCTTACTAGGAACAAGCTAGTAGAAACAAGCGAGTGAAACATGCCGAGAAGCACACACCGTCAAGATTGCTGCGCAATAAGCTTTGAAACACATGTCTTTACGGGATAGTGTTTGGTGCCAACAACACAAGCAGCTAGAGCCTGAAACAAATCAGCTTAGTATGAGAATAATGAAAAGCCACAAGAGGAACCAAACAATACTCGAGGAAGTTTATCAAGGTTATGAAGGGAAAAAGCCTGTTAAAAGAAACATGAAGAATGAAGAGTGCTAGGCAACAATAATCTGCACAGTGTACAGGACTTTGAGCAAACCAATAGGTCATCGAATAACCAGCGCCTAACAACGGTAAAGGCACATGTTTCTTGGCTGGAACTTTTGCCAGTACAGAAGGCGGCAGTCCTTGAACCAATTAACTGCTATTTTTCCCCAAATAGTGCTCCGCACTAAGGGGTTCTTACGGTAAGAGTTAAGGGCCGGGTTTAGATCAGGGTTCGCGCGTGTGGTTGCGGCATTTTGCGTGGGCCGGCTCGCACAAAAGTTACTTTTTGAATTCCTCATGTCCACTTCGACTGCGCAGGCTCGCATAAAGTGGGTGTCGCGGTTTTCGCGCTTCCGGGACAAAGCTCTCGTGCAGGTGCCGTGCTCGTTTTCGGACATGAAGTGCATTTTGCGTGGCAGGCGCAAGGAATTCGACACATTGGAGCCTCGAAAAGGTCATTTTACGTGGCAGGCGCAAGGAATCGGAGACTTTGCAAATTTCGTGGCAGGCGCAGTGTTTTGTGGACGTTGCAAAAACGTTGGCAGGCGTGTGTCATTCTTCCATAGCCATCCAACCATGCCAAGATGCAGCCTCATGGCGCTCTTCATCAAAGGCAGCACCAGCCATAGACTCATAGAGCTCACCCATTGCATCCTCAAGGTTCATCCCACCATGAAATTGAAATCTCATGTCACCAACCCTCATGTCAAACACGCTGATGGTATCAGCTCATGACTCATGACCATTGGTTTCCTCATGCCACCCAATCTTTGCCACACCCACCCATTCATGCCAAGATGCAATCTCATGGTGCTCACCCAAAGCCTGATAGAGCTCATCCAGGGCATCAAAGTCAAAGAACTGATCTCCACCACTCATCAACTCCTGATGCATGGACAGGTGACTCATGCTTATTGCAGTAAATCACCAACCCTCATGCCAAAAACCCTCATGGTACTATCTCATGGCTCATGACTATTGGTGTTCTCACGCCACCCCATCTCTTCCACGCCCACCCAACCATGCCAAGGTGCAGCCTCATGGTGCTCTTCTTCAAAGGTAGCACCAGCCAAAGTCTCATAGAGCTCCGCAGGACTCATCCCACCATGAAACTGAAATCTCATGTCATCAACCCTCATGTCAAACACGCTGATGGTATCAGCTCATGACTCATGACCATTGGTTTCCTCATGCCACCCAACCTTTCCATACCCACCCATTCATGCCAAGATGCAGACTCATGGCGCTCATCCATAGCCTCATAGAGCTCATCCAGGGCATCAAAGTCAAAGAACTGATCTCCAGTGCCACTCATCAACTCCTGGTGCATGGACAGGTGTGAATGGGAGAAGTTAAGCAATGACCTCATGTCACCAACCCTCATGGTATGAGCCCTAATTGGGATGGATCAGTGGCCTGAGCTCATGAGAAGGGAATATATCGTGTTATCAACCCCTTTGCAATGGTTCCTATCAAGCCCTCATGGGCACCAGGCATACCAACACTCATGTCACCAACCCTCGCGGTCCAAACCCCAATCTCACAGCACTGATTTTCCAAAAAGTCTGAACCAGCTCATCAGCTCATCAGGCTGCAGGCTCATCAGCCCATGTGGACACTCTGCAGGATTGATCTCATGGCATCCCATGATTCAGCCCAGCAAGCACAAGGTTGTGGGTTCCTGGCCATCTCTCATCACACCTCATCTCATGGATCTCCTCCATCAACTCCATCAGTCTCATTTGGAATCTCATGGGGTTGTCTCATGAGCTCGTCCCACTGACCCATCCCAGGCTCAACCATGACCATGAGGCCACATTCCATGGCAGCATCAATGTTGGCCTTGATCTCATTCAGGATCTTATCCCTGCTCTTGCCCTCATCATTCATGGTGGAATAGATCCCATGGCTTTGAACCTCCTCATCACTGCACAACATGAAGCTCACCATCATCTTGAATGCGCTGATGTGGGCCAATGTGCAAATGCCAGCCCACATGGTCTCATGGTCCGGATGGCACCCAACCCTCATGGCATCATACTCAATGAGTAGCCAATTTCTCATCTTGCTCACCCTCATGCTTGTTGGGCATGGATGCCTGACCATCTCATGAGCACCCATCCCCTCAGGCACCATAGCCTTTGCTGCAAATGCCTCATCCTGTCTCTCACCAGCCCACCTGCCTCATCCAATCTGCGCTCAATTGTGGCAAGGCTTTGAGAGATCCCTGATGCCCTCATGGAGATGGATTGCATCTCCTCATGCAGCCCATCAAGCTTCTCTCTCATTCAGCTTGCTCATCACATAGTATCCTATGCCCATGCCCATGCCAATGCCACCCATCATCAGCAACGCCATCATTGCAAAGTGAGGTTATGAGCTTACATGCTTATTATGGTCCTGCTTCTGATCTGCTTATGCTTGGGCCTGATCTATTGCAACCCCATATTCACCAATCCTGGTGCTCAGGTCACATGAGCCCATGGCATGAACAACAAAAAACCGCAACTAAATCTCATGGTTCTCAACCCTCATAGCCCTCCACCCAGCTCCCAAATCCCACTTCCCACCACCACCAGAACCTCCTCATTGGAGCACCTGCATCAAAGATCTCATCAAGGAATACCTCAGTGGACAATGGATGAAACTCATGACTCATGGCTCCCACCAACTAACTATCAGTGGATCTACTCCCATCAACCCCCCCATGGATCCTATCAAAACTTCATCCCATACTCTGAACCCTGCTCTTTAACCCTCATGGTTCCCATCAACACCATGGTTCCTATCTCATCCCATCAACCCTGGACCCTGCTCTTGGACCTTTATGGTTCCTATCAACCCCATGGTTCCTATCAGAATCGCATTGCATCATCTCATCAACTCTGCTCTTCAACCCCCATGGTTCCTATCAACCCCAATGGTTCCTATCAAATCCCATCAGCCCGTTTTTTCAACCCCAATGGCTCCTCCCAAGCATGGACCTCATCATTCCTATCAACCCCCTCCCAATCACCACAAACTCTTTTGCTAGGGGCTGCCACCTGCTCCTTACCAAGCTGGTGGAAAATTACCTCATGCTCATTTTGAGCTCATGGCCATTCTTGGCTCACGCTTCTATGGCCTCATGGCCTGATGGACTTGCCATGCTGGAGGATGGAGCTCATGACATCCCTTTGTGGCCATTGGCTCATCAGGCTGCTCATGGCTGGCTTGAAGTGCTCATTGGTCTCCAGCTCATAGATCTCACAGAGCTCATGCAGCAGCCAATGCGTGAATCCTCAGTGGTGCAAGCAAAAAAGCAAACTAAACAACCATATCTTCAAATAAAAAACCTATCAACTCTCCCCTGATCATCTCCTCATATGTGGCATCTGCAGGCTCATGGATCTGGAACATCTGGGACCTCATGGCTGCTTTGATGTTCTCAACCACCTCATGGATCAGCTCATGTGACTTCTTGCCAGCATCATTGTAGTGCTCATAGATCCCACCTCATGCACAGGGAATCTGCCCTCCCTCCTCCACAAAAAAAACATAACCCACCATACCCCTACCAAAGCAACCAAAACTTAAATCCAATCACTGCCAAAAGGACTCTCAGTCACCTGATCCAATCCCATCTGCATCCTCAGCAGATCTTTGAATGTGCTATGTAGCACAATGTGCACAAGCTCATCCAAGCCATGTTGGACTCCTTCTCATCAGGGGCCATGCACTTCATGGTGTCATGCTCATAGAGCAGCCATGACCTCATCAGAGGCACCCTCATCTCCGTGCAAGGAGCCTTCTCCTCATTCCAATCATTCACCACCCACCCCCTCAATGAGGTCAGCCTCATCTTCAGATGCCTGACCTTATCTCGCCACAAGCAGCCATTGAAATCCAGCCTGACCTCAATGCTGGACAATGACTGATGCAGCTCACCCATTGCCTGATACATCCTCTTGCCCATCTCATTCTTCACCTGTCTCATGTAGAGGGCCATGCCTCCCATGCTCATGCCCATGACCAATGCCCCCATCATGGCACCAATCATTGCTTATGGGCTGATGGGCTGATGAGCTGATCTGATCAAGCTGATGCGCTGATGAGCCAATCTCTATGCTAAATACATGGTTCTTCTCATACCCACCCCCATGGTACTTCTCATACCTACCCCCTGGTCCTCTCAAACCTATCCAACTCCATCCCTTTCATCCACTCCCATCCCTTTCACCCCATCCCATCCCTTTCCACCCCTTCCCACTTCAAGCCAAGGTGCCTCATCCTCATCAGCCAATGCCCAAAAAGCATTGTGGAGCAGAAACCATGGTGGCTTATGAGACCAGCTCATGCCCATTCTGAGTCCAAATGTTACCAGCCAATTCCTCTCATCCCTTGGTTCCTCATTGCTTCCTATATGGACTCTAGCCTCATGCTCATCAGCTCATCCCCTCTCAAACCTTCATGGTCCAAAGGTTTCATAGCACATTATTCAGGGGGAGTGGACCTCATGAGTTGTATCTCAGACCTTCTTGACCTTGTTGACCTTCTATGTGGGGGGGGGCAGATTAATCCGGGGTTGACATTAATTCTAATTTAAAGTAAATTAATTCAAAAACGTTTAATTCTTGTTTCTACTAGCTTCGTGTTACTAGTAGTAAGGCCCTTGTTCCTAGTAGCGATGCCAGGAGCCCCTAGTGGCGTCCTTGCTCCCGCACTTCCGAGTTCTTAAGATCCGAGAGGCTTCGATCCAACCAGCGCCATGAAGTCTCCACCGCATCATGATGCCTCCAAATGGTCGTCCAGTGAGGTGCCGCTTCATACGCCTCGTATTCCACACTGCGTATGAAGCATCAGATTCAGAACAAAAATAGAAAAAATCATGTCGGATGATCCGGATCATCTGACGCATGTCGCGCCGAACAATGTTCGACTTGCCCGCCTGCTGCTCATCTTCGGAGAAGAAGACGTCCGTAAAGATGTTTCGAGGGAGTCCGATGAGCCAAAAGAGACATGCGCTCCAGTGGCACATCGCCACCACAACGGACAAAACGCGGAGCAGCGAAATGCACTGCAGCAGAAAGAGAGAACCGATGCGATGCTCCACGCGCTCCCAGATCTGTCCCAGCTTGGCCAGGCGAAGCATCCGAACTAAGCGCAGCAGCCGAACGAACTTCACCACCTTGGTGAGCCGCGTGAGCTGCGACGAAGAACCGCCAGATAGCCACGCCTCACTGAGCTGTGCCCAGGGGACGGTTGAGCCAAAGTCGATGGCAAACCATCCGCGCAGATAGCTCTTCGCAATCTTCACCCGGTCCAGAATCAGTTTGCTTTTGGCTCCATGGACTCCATCCTCACTCTCAATGGCACAATTGAAGCTAAAAATGATGTCGATGCCAAAGATCCAGGTCGTCGTCCAAAGCCACACAGTGTCAAAGCTGTCCGCCCCAAGGTTGCTTTTGAAGGTGAGTTGGAAAGGCAAAACCATCGCATCCATGAGAACACAAAACATCACTCCAAAATCCCAAACCAACTTCCCAATCCAATGAGGATTGATAAGACCACTTGGACAAAATCCTTCTTTTTCGATCACCACTGACTCACAAATTCTTCTCTCATAGGAGATTCCATCACCCTCAGACTGCTCAGACACGGGAAGGAGATTCCATTCGACTGGTGCTGAGTCGGCATGTGGTGGAAGCCGCTGACGCCCTCCGTCTCTCTCCTTTTCATTTCTTCGGAGAGAGGAGCCCTCTCTCTCTCGAGACTTCGCTGGTGCCATCGGTGCCTTGAGACTTCCGTCCGTCTCCGCTTCCGCCGCCTCGTCCGCCTCCGAGATGGAGGCCAAAGAGGCGGAAGCGCCGTCGCTTCGCTCTCCGTCCCTCCGCCGTTCTCCGTCGCGTGGCCTCGGAGGCTGTTGAAAGCTCGGCCGATCCGCACGGCCACGAGGACCAAAGCGAAAGATCTCATCTCGGTGCTCTCCTGAAAATGCAGAAACACATAGAAAGCATCTACATGCAGTATTTACATGTACTACATGTATTACTACATGTATTTACAGAACTTTTTGATCTACACTTGTGACATCCGTCGAGAAATTTCCCTATCAAGTCCTATCAATCTGTCCTTCCGGCGAATTGCAGCGACTCATGCGTGCCAGAACCTCCATTTGCAAGTTGATGATTGTCGACATGTCCTTCAGAACGAAACAAAGCAAAGGGCAAACATATTGTGACCAGCTGTGTAAACGACAAGGGTCAACAATTGCAAACAAATGTGTCAAAAAAGGAAGAACTCGACATAGTCCTCCATCCAAGATGGCAATTGCGCCAACACACTGGCACTATCAAGACTCGCCATCCTCTCAAACACAAAGATTGCGTGAAACGAAAGTTTCGCGAGAGGTTCGAGAGGTTCAAAATTGAGAACCTTAGAGTGTGAAACGCACTGAAAAACCAACACCAACCAACAAACGAAAACCGTCATTCCCAAACAACACGAGAACGCCCGGTTTCGACAACGCCCGGTTTCGACAATCGTCACCTGGAAAAGGAGATAGGGAAAGCAAAGCACCGTCTGAGCCGTAATGGCGAGAGGAAAGCCGATCTGTAACATCTAAGTGCTGCTAGGAGCAAGGACGCTACTAGGGGCTCCTGGCATCGCTGCTAAGAGCAAGAAGCTATTAGGGGCTCCTGGCCTTACTACTAGGAACAAAGAAGCCATTAGAAACAAGAAATAGATTAACATAGAATGAAGTTTAATTCGACTTTAAATAGAAAACATCGCACTCCGCCACCGGTCAAAACCCGCGAGAGCCAACTTCTGGCGCTGCGGGTCGCAACAGCGGTGCGCAGGACTTCCCCGGCGCGCGTGGCTTGCAATCCCTGGTGTGCCAAATAGAGGAGGAACAGGATCTCATGTGATTTAGCAAGTGATCAGCTTGACGGAAGGAACCGCTGCCGGCCAATTTCCTCAAGTCAATTTCCTCTTTGATGAATGCAAGGTTGAAGCCATGCACCCCTATGCTTGAACACCTTCCTTATATCTATACAGGTCTGCATTTCATCATGCAGAGGGATTACATAGCTGTCGTGCGCGCAACGGCAAGGAGAACACGCCCCTTAGTCTGTCCACATTTTTGGCGACGCTGTCAAGATCTGCAAAAAATGGAGCCTTTTCGTTTGGGAACGCAATTGCTCTTGCATCATGAGGTGCCTCTGGAGGGCAAGCGGTGGAAGAAAGCATGCAAAAACATGGACATGACATGAACGGGTATGCGGTATAGTGGGGGTGGAGGTGCCCACGGCCTAATCCTTGGAGCTGAATGGGCCACAGGCTGAAACCCAGATTTTCCACTTCGGTCGCAAATGACGAGAGCTGCGCACCGTCACCGGGTATGGTCTTGGAGGTTGAGCCTGCCTGGCACGCACCTGTCACCTGAAGGTAAAATTGCAGGCCGTTTTGTTTTTACAGCTGAAGTGCGTTTCCGAAGTGTGTGACAGTTCCACTCCTTGTAGCTCTGTTGAGACCACTGGGCCCAAGAACATGCCGGAAAATTTCAACTCAAGAACATTCAAGATGTGGGGGGGGACAGACGATCGTCACGACATATTCATGTTCTTGTAAAAAGGTCGCCTTGCTCATACTGATGCAGCCGGCATCGCGAGCTGGGGATCTCCTGCTTAATCAAGGGCAGTGATGGCGGCATAAGTTGGACTGGGCGTCACAGTCCAAGGTTTGCTGAAAAGATTCGGGCGCAAGGACGCTACTAGGAACAAGTGCATCGCTACTAGTAACAAGTGCCTTACTAGTAGTAACAA